CCAATAAAAATTTTAATCATCTACCCACTGCATTTAGAAATTTAGGATTCCATTTAGGAATCGTATCAAAATTGTCAGTGAATCACTCATGACTACGGCATAAATTTCGAATTCGATCGCAAATACTACGAAAATCTTCAATTTGATTATTGATATACAGTAAAACTTATCTATAGTGAACAACCTTAACAAATTATTTCTTTATTTATCACACAACTATCGTAGTGCTATAAAAATTTACTATTTAATTTAATTATCTAATACAAACTTATAATATTTTACTCATCTTCGATCCTCTACCAGGTTGTATACGGCTCCTAACTTATTGGTGAATCACCCTGTATAGTTGTTAAGATATCTTCGCAGAAACTCGAAAGGAGAACTGTTATACAGTCTTAGTTTGAAATAAATTTCTTACTTCCATAATTTGATTCTTTATTTTCGTGTTATTCAACAGCTTTTCTTCGGCGATATAAAAAAAAATCATTTTTCCAGAAATAGCCACAAATATTCACTATTTTAAAATTGTGGATCAATTCCCAGGCATTAGTTGATTAGAACATTTTTTATATAGAACTAGTTAAGCAATATTGTACTAGAATATCTTAAAAAATTTTAACGAGGACGATGTTTTTAATAGTATATCCTTGATAATTTGAGTATTGAATCAGAAATATCATATTTAGTTCCATAATAAATTCATGGCCGGGAAATTAATCTACCACCTCCACTATACACAAACCATTTTTATCTTTCTTGTCAGGCTCAGTTATATGTTGTCAATACAATAACAATAGTTAGTCGACTATCTTAAAAAATATAGAAATCTTAAAAAAAAAGGAAAAAAAATGAAGAAGAAAAATAAAGGACATTTATATATTATTTTCATCTTCCTTGTTTGTTATTTATTCCTTTTGTTTTTTTTTTTTTTTTAATAATGTCAAAAGAATGTTTGTAAAATATAATGTTAATGTAATAAATAACACAAGATTACAAGAATTTTTTTCTTACTCTTTTCAACTTTCTTATACGATTAAATCAACCATAACAAAATAATCAAACGATTCGATTGCAATTTCTTGTATAACAAAAAGTGTTATACTTCCCTCCTTCCCTTTATATTCATCTTTAATCTAAAAATATATAGATAAGCCTACTTTTGAAAAATTTTTAATATTATGCATATTTTTACAAACATAATGTTTGCGAGATTTTTGTAATTGCCCTTTGATCTGAAAGCGAATCACTAATAGAATGGAAAAAGTAGAAGAAAAAAATGTGTCAAAAACATGACGTAGTAAAAAATTATAAAGAAAGAAGGTAAAAATTCATTCCTGCGAATAGAGTAGATTTTCAACGATCGCGAAAAATGAACATATTTGTGCTATGCAATGCAACACACCATATTTTATCCTTGTTTAAAAATCCTTCATAAATTTTAAAATTGCAAATATACCGCAACCAACGTAACCGTATGAATGTGCCTATATACACCAACATATAATTTTGGGATACACAAGAATTCTACCATATACCGTCAATAAATTAAATTAACGTTAAAAATGATTTTGGTAATTTATAAATTTTTTTTTTGTTACGTTCTTATTATTTATTCTTGTGAATTTAACAAAGATTAATGATTGGAATAATTTAATCCTTAAAACTCCTACATTATTTTTGATATATATATATATGTAATGGATAGTTGGCGATTTTCCAACAATATTTGTTTTAAAATCAGTTGAAACTATAGCAAAAAAAAATTTAAAGTATAGTAGTATTTTCTTATGAATGATGTCGCTCTATACAAATGAGAGTGGGATTAGCGGGAGTTCTATTAAAAACTAATGCAAATCTTTATGCACAAAAAAAAAATGTCTACGAAATTTTTAGTAGGAACCAGTTACCAGAAAATGGGGGGAAATATAATTTTTTGAGAAGTAAAATAAGAACAAACTAGCATTTCTATCAAGCTTCTTACAGGCCCAGAAAGTTGCATTATTACTAAATTGGAACCTAAAGATATCTTCATGCTCATATTATGGCACTTCTCCCGATTATTTTGTAAAGTTAAAAGTAATGAAATTGTATGTAGGTGTGAAATATAATCAAGTCTGGAATTATAACATAAAATTTCAAATTCATCAGAACTTTTCAAAAATTATCAGTACTCATTTTGATTTAACGTGAATGACTATGCAAGTAATATTGAAACCATAGTTTCCGAAACCGTGTAAAATAATATGCAGATACACAACTTGTGATAATATCATGGTATGTACGATACGTTCATTTCGGTAGAACTACATGTTTAAATATCAATATATACACCATGATTTTCAAAATATACAAACGCCATCTTACAAGTTTTAATTGAATTTACAATATAAATTTTGTGGTTTATGTCTTAACTAAATATTATTTAACGAATTTTCATAATTTGATATTTATTTTTCAACAGAAAACAAATGGTGAGGTAAAATTACAAAATGTTGAAAATATAAAAATTCACCATGTTGAAATTATAAAAATGTTGAAAATATAAAAATTCACCATGTTGAAATTATAAAACTGTTGAATATTTTCTTATATATTACAGCTTTAATAAAATAAATGTTGAATTTCTAAGAAGTAAGATATTTCTAAGCCTGTAACATAAAGCCTGTAATGTTATTTTATTAATGTGAATATAGGAACTATTTTAACATTATTTTGCATTGAAACAACTAAATTATCAAAAATTTTGCGATTTCAAATAAAATATTAAAGTAGTTTAAAAATTTTATTGCTTTACGGTATAATATTTAAAAAAAATTCAAATTTAATGTTTATAGGTGCTCGTAAATTTTTTTAAAAAAATGATTAACAGTAACAATAAAGTATAATAAAAACTAAAGGGTAATTATGATTTTTTTTTATTACCAATTTCACGACAAGTAAATTAAGAACTTTCTATATCTTTATGGTTTCACAGATTTATTACAGTCATAAATATTTTTTTAAAGGTTGAACATTTTAAAATGTTATGTTATTTGGTTTAAGATCTACCACATTTGAAGTATTCTGAAAAGACAATAGCTATTTGAGTCTAACATAAAATGATCCTGCAAATTGTCAGCTATTGAACTTAGAATTTCAAAATTTTTAATTATAGATTCTTTCTTAAAATGAAATAAAGCTATTGCGTGCTCTTCTTATATCATAGATTAGAAAAAAGAAATGACCTATCTTACATTTGAAGATATAACCAACTTTTCAATAATGCAGGGTTATATACGTAACAGAGTTCCATGTAAATAAGATTTCAATTTATATTAGCTTCCCCAAGAAAATGATTTCGCTAAAAACCATAGATACGATAAGGTATAGGTTATTTTATTTATTAACTCTGAAAATCTTCTATTCCGTTGTTCGAAAAAAGTTTTTCCGTTAACGGCTTTTTGACCTTCTCTAAGTTAAGAAAATTATTTTGTTCTCCCAGAGTTAGCCCTGAACAACTTGGTGATAACAACTACAACCACAACATGGTGATTGTAGAAATTTTTAAACGGAAAGGAGAGAAATGGATGAACTTCGAATGTTGCCTCCGAATATGGCTGCATAGCTTAATTTTGGATGTTCTTTCTTTTCACAATATAGACCAAGTATTCTAATAATTTTTTATCGTTATTCAAATAAATTGTTAAAATTACTTAATTCGTTATCATTTTCCACCACATTTTTGGGATAAAGTTTGTCTTGTACTGAATTACTGCCATTAACATTAACTATCATACCTACTACTTTCTTTCACGTTTTTTATTTAATGGTTGTTGTCTTCTCTAAATGAAATTTTCTGAAATTCACCATGACAAATTTTCACTTTGTATGAATTTAATTACATAGAGCCTTTTATCACAATTTGCTAGCCAAATTCAATAGACAAGATGGAAGATGTTGAATTAATTCCTGTTCAAAATTAAAATTTAATTTTATAAATTTTGTGGTGAAGAACATGAAATCATTGAATTTTTTAATTTTAATTGAACTCTTTATTATAAAACCAACAATCTGAATAGAATTTCAAATTTATAAATTTTTTTTTTTTTTCATATTCCTGCAATTTTTTGTATCCAATCTCTTACATAAGAAACTTTAGAATAAACACTATATGCATACGATTTACCACTTATTTCACGCCATGAAGCAATACCAACAATTTTATTATTTAATGTTATCGGACCACCCGAATCACTTTGACAAAATTCAGCAAAATTTATTTTATAACCAGCACAAAACATACGTTCCGTTATCATTTCCTCATAATTATTTTTACAATCTTTTTCATTAACTTTTGGTATTTTAATAGCATGTAATAAATTACGATCTTCTGATGGGCATATTGTTATACCCCAACCGGTAACACGTAACATTATACCATCTGGAATTATTTCATTTTGTTTTGGTAATTTTGCATAACCAATTGTTAAATTCGTATAATTATAATTAGCAATTCTTAATAATGAGAAATCATAATCAAATGTTAAACTATCATAGAGTGAATGTTCATAGAAACCGATAACATCAACATTAATACCACCATTTAAATTATTTGATGAACCTATATAAACTGAATGTGGACATTCACAATGTGCTGCTGTTAATATCCAATTTTTATCAATTAATGTTCCACTACAACGATGAACACCAAAATAACGTAAAGAGACATGATATGGTACATCCTTAATATCGATTACAGAACCGCTAATACTAAGTTTTTTTGATGGAGCCGAATCTGAAAAAGAGCGATTTGCAATAATAGCAGCCACTTTTAAAAGCGTTATTATTACAAATATATTCAATACTGATCGGTTCAACATTATAATATTGCGGATTTACTAAAATATTGTGTGGAAAAGCTGAAACTTTTATACTATAGTTCTAGGTGGTGTTGGTACGTCAGCATTTCAATTTTAATAATTTAGAAATATTTTCAAAGTCTTTATCAGTAAAGAAATAAATCAAATTGTAAAGAAAAAAATATTTTTATTTTCTATAATTAAAAAAATGAATTATTAGTTAAAACTTAAAAATTACACCTCATAAGTTATGAATATTTTGCCACCCGTGAAACGATTTCCTCTCATATATTCTTACAATTCTGTTATTTCTTTTATCCAATTTATTACATGTGATACTTTAGAATAAACACCATAATTATTCGGTTGTCCACATTCATTACCCCATGATACAATACCAACAACTTTATTTTTATATAATGCAGGACCACCAGAATCACCTTCACATGAATCTGGTCCACCATCTACATAACCAGCACAAAACATACTATCATCTATTCTTGATTTAAAAATCTTTCGACATTTTCTTTCACTAACTTTTGGTACCATAACTGATTTTAATATACTTAAATTATCACATATACATGATGTTTTACCCCATCCAGCTACATGTAACATAGTGTTATCAGGAATTTCTTCATTATGTTCAGGTAAAATTGCATAATCAATAATTAATTCATCATTATCATCATCATAATCTTCTAATTTCAATAAAGAATAATCATGTGAAAGTAAAGTTAAATCAAAAAATGGATGTGAATAATATTCAATTACATTAATTTCAATTCCATTCTCAAGATTATTTGATGAACCAATATAAACTGTATTTGGTTGTTCACAATGAGCTGCACTTAATATCCAATTTTTAGCAATTAATGTTCCACCACACCTATGATCCCCAGAATATCTTAAAGATACTATATATGGTATTTCTTCAATATCAATAGGATTACCATATATAATTTTTGACTTATTTATTAATTTATTATTGTCTAAGTAAAATGATAATGTCGGTGATCCTCTACTAGCGAGTAAAATAGTTATCCAAAGAAATTGATTTACTATTGAATATGTGAACATTTTATTTGTTATACTAAAGTCAAATATGAAAATTTATAGCTCTTTTATAGTTCGGATAATATAGAAGAAAACATAATTAATTATTTTGAAAAGCACGACTAAACATGACAATAAACTTATGTTATCAAATGTGATTATGTAATTTCGAATGGAAGCACTTTGCTGGTTTTACAAAATATTTTAATGAGAAATTTTTACTAAGTAATTTAAGTTGCAAGTGTTTTCGGTTTCAAAGCGTTTTTCAAAAAAAAAAAAAAAGAAATAATTTATATTGAAAATTTTTAAAGTAATCATAGGTCTTATTTAGAAAATATGTGGCCAAAATATCACAACCTCATAAAATTTGTTAAACTCAAAATGTAATCAACCTATCGGCAGATGTACAATACCAAAAACCTGAAATGTGTCCGTTAATTTCCAGTGATAGATGAAAATATCAGCATTTAATTAATCCAAATCTGTAGTGTCACCGTACCGGTTCACTGCTATGTTTTCCTCAACTAAATTGCAATTGCAAGACGAAAGAACGGCGAGTATAATTATTTATTGGATATCCTCCAACACGAACTCAATTTTTGCTCTCTTGATATCTCATGTGAATATTCCAATTCAAACAGTGAATATCAAATGTCATTTATTGATTATTGAGCTCTCTAGATTCTTTTAGTTATACCTTAATAACAAGAGTGGGCTGTACACGTTTGAAAGTCTTAAAATACTTGTTACAAATACAAAAATATACGATGATGATGTTGACAGTAACATTTAATAAAAAATTACATATAATAAAACAAATATTTAAATTTGTATTTAAGGGTTAATAATGTAAAATTTAACCCTTTACTACTTTCATATTTATTTGGTTTTTAACACATTCTGTTGTAAAGTTTTCTGTTAAGAGAAATCTTTACCAATATGATTTTGTATTTCATAAAATTTCAGAATTCTTATGACCATTTCTTCGATCCCTGTAACTATACGTAAATATGTTAAAAAATAATGTAAAAATATATACGTATATAATGTTAGTAATTTAACCCTTTTCATAGTTATATTGCATACTTTGCGATAGTAGTGTAATACAGTTAAAATTTTACGCCTTTCCGAAATATATAGTTAACCACATAAACCATTTGTTGCGTTTATCGATGAAAAATATAGAAAAAAAAGAAGAACCCAAATATCTACATTTGGTTTGTAACAAGCAAATCCTTTTTAATGTTATCACATTATATTTGTTTGTAGTTGTGTAAAATTACCTAAAATTTATAAAATCAATTCGAATTCATTTTAAATTTTTGTCCTTATATGTACCTTATTCGTTTAGAGATAAAGTTATCGTTTTTAACAGCATGGCAACTGTTATTATTCAACAACATGGTTAATTGTATAATTTTACTAACATTTTAAAAAATTTATAGTTCCTCTCACTCATACTTTTGTAAACTAATATTAAAAAAAAAAAACAAAAAAAGGAAATAATTTTTGACTTGCGCAGTCAAACGGAAATTCTATTTTTTTTTTTTTTTTTTTGCCTTGTTTAGTTTATTATTAATTGTCCTGTTAACGTACATATGCTTCATATGTTTATTGTTTATATTTACTAGTGTCTACAAAAGAAAATTGCTAAAGAAATAAAGTTTACACGTTACCAAATTTTTATCAAAAAATACTAAAAATTATATGGTATGCCTTAACAGATGCGATGATGACTCACATGCAAATTGTGTATAAAGAAAATTCTCAGAGAGAACACAAGCAATACTATATCGTAAAATTTGTAAAAATATAATTTTCACAACCAACTCCTGACCTCATTTCAATGTTATACTTTAATTAAATTAACAAGTACCATTATACTCGTATATAGCATATGGGGGAGTTCCCAAATATTACATGGGAATGTACCATTTTAAACGCAAAAATTTGGAGTTCTTTGGATATATTAAATATTTACCAATATTCTTACAATATATTAAGGTCTTGAGATTGAACTACAGGCATTTGCTTTGAAATTCATCAATGAAAATTGTCGATATTTCTTAAACCAAAGTTATATTAGCTGCTTCCTATATTAAAACTATATTATTATTCATTACTCATATACTAGCCCAAAAATAATTTTGTTAAACAAGTCAGTGCATAATCACAAAAGATCCTATGGGTCAACATGAGAAGGGCTTAAGGGGCCTCGGTTCACGAGAAGAAGTCCTTGCATAAAATTAGTTCACCTCACATTTAAACAATTATCTCGTTTGCAAATTTCAAGAAATTGCTGTAAATTACGGCTAATATCAATTAAAACATAAAATTTTTTTCATATAACACATTTTGTTTAATTTCGAACCGGTATATCGAAAAAAATATTTTTCGATTTATATGCAAAATTATTTAAATTAGATTTTTAAATAGTTTTAAAATTGTCACTAAAATGCCGATCATTTCTTTCCGTGTATTTTATTATTTACATCTGTTAAAAACCATACCCACATTTATACATAATAAAATTTTAACATTTCATTATGTTAACAAAAAATTACACTACACCGAAATGGAAAAATAATAAAAAAGAAAAAAAAAAATTTTTTGATTTCGTCGTCAAAATTTTTGTATCAGCTGTTCGATATTCTCACATTTAACGCGAATTTACATTATTATTATGTTATACTCAAAAATTAAAAATATTTTCTATACGAATGTACATGTATAATTAAATATACCTAGCAAATAATAAAATTTTTATAGCCGTGTTGAATTTAACAAGAAAAAAAAAACAAAAAAAATTTCGATTGAAAGGGAAAATATTTATTCTACTCGAATGCGGTCTTTCTTATCTTTGAATGCAACATGCAATATGGTGTTCTATATGATTTACACATTTTATACACAATCACTTTGATTTTTATAATATGGTTGCTTTCATTATAAATATGTGGCACATAACATGATTTCCGTTTCCAAAAACTGAGAAAAGAAAAATATTGAACAAAATTAATATGCTCTGTTACGTTATTGCCTTATAGAAAAAAATTACGTTATTCACCTTTTAAAAAATTAAATGTTAAAATAACATTACATTTTCATTAACAGTATTAGTATATAGATTTAATTTACAACCCTACCTTATAGTTAATTGAGGTAAATTTAACACAAATCATTCGAATATAGATTAAAATTTAAAAAAAATTGGATTTACTCTTAGAATTCAAAACTATGTCAGCTTAGACAGATGTTGCTTATTATACTTAACATTTGTATTACATTATGAGATTCAGTAAAATAATTAATACTATATTATAGATTTTTAATTAAAGTTTTCAAAATTCGATAGAACAAAATTCGATAAGGACAAAAGTATGCTATCTGAATTCTGAATCATGTTTTATTCCAAATGCCTCGACTTCTTGTAGTCTAGTTGCTATAATTTGAATCCCAATTTCTATAATATTGTTGTATTTATTTTGGTTCAATTGTACGTCGAGCAAATTTTTCGTTTATCTAATAATAACAGCTTAGACACTCTTTTCGTAATATAGCACTTGTAACATTGCATTCTGTTATGGATTCTATACACAACGTTTTTCTTTAATAATTATTTCTTACGTACAGAAGAGAATTTAAAATAAAATAAAATCATTTAGCATTTTGCTATAAAAAAAATATTTCTCCTATATATGGTAAACATGCAATATTAAAAATTAAAATTCACCATACTAAAAATTAATACTTCTCTGTTAATTTTACATATTGGTATAATTTAATAAAACACAACTAAAATTTCTCCAATTTTTCTTTTCTTAAAATTTGAACTCAACTTAGAGATAATTTTTCATATAGAATGACCAGTGAGAATAAAAGAGAGAATTTTTGTCCTACATGCTGTATATACAAAGGAAGAGATTATATAGAGACTAAAGACTATGTTATATTACATAGTGTTGAATATTAAGCAATTATAAAACAAAAAATATTAGTAAATGTTTTTGCGGCAGCCGATAACAGAAATTTTATTTTTAGTAGAAATTTTCCTTTCCTAGGGGATAGTGTTACGGTTTAATTTCATTATTATTAAAAAATCATAGAATTTTTTTTTTTAAATTTTAATTTTTATCATAATCTCTTTATATCGTATAAATATTTAAATTTATATTTGTTTTAATAATTTTAAATATTTTAATTAAATTAGTGTGGTAAAATAAAAATTTAATATTGGCAGTGTAAATTTAAGTTCATTTTTAAGTAAAAAAAATTTACCGTTTAAAACCAAAAAAAAAATTTAATATGAAGTTTGTATACCCAAGAGAATATACTTATATATATATATATATATATATATAAAATGTATGTGTGTGTATATGTGTTCTATAATAATATGCATAATAATATTAAATGTCACAAAATTGTCATTATTCATGTCATACATGTTTTCACTTGTAGCAAAAGAAATATTATAACAAATTTAATAAAGCAAAAAAAAAAAAAAAATAAGGAACACGTAAAATTTTACGAGATTTTCCCGTTCTATACAGCAACACAAACAGTAGTAACAACACAGCAACAACACTATCCTCTACTATTTTTTATTTATTTATTTTATATTTCTGTTTTTTTTTTTTCATTTTTAGTATTATTGCTTTTAAGTAGATAAATAAGATAGAGAGAATCAAAAATGAATAAGAAAATATAAAAATACAAAAACTGCAAAAGGAACAGAAAAGAGCACAAAATAAATAAATAAATAAAAAAAAGGATACAAATAAACATACATTAGGAATTTTTAATATTACACTCATACATACAG